CCGTCCAGTGATGCTGTCGCTGTGCTGAGGATGCTGTCGCGGTGCCGAGGCCGGCTCGGCGGTGGGAGCCGCGGGCTGCGGTGCTCTCAGTGTTTGGGCACAGTCTCCGGCTGAGGACCTCCCAGCAGCGAGCGCCGGGCACCTCCCCGATCTCCCCGTCCGGCACCCGTTCTCCGCAGAGGCCAGAAGCAGAGTGGGAAAAGAGATAAGGGCACTAAAATAAATAAATATCGTAAAATTACGGGCAGGGTAAAGAAAATCTGCGTGCGCCCCCCTTCCCTTGCAGTGGATTATCCTCGCGTGTGTTGCATTGGAAATGATCCCGTTAGCGCTGTGCTCTCCTGATCTAATTTGCTCCCACCGGAGCCTGGTGCTCTCGTGGCGGCTGGAGCGCCGAGCGGGGAAAACAGCAGCGGGGGCCTTTTGTGTTTTCCTGGCCGTAGAAATAACGGGGCTGGGTTGTGGCGTGGCTCTTCTCGCCTGTCACGCCGCCCGGCTGAGCCCTCCTGCAAAGCGCCCTGCGTTTGTGTCGGCGCAGCGTAACGTCAGGTTTGCAGGGGGGGAAACTGAGGCACGGGGAAGGGAAGCGGCGCGGAGCCGCGGGTGCGCTGGGGCGGCGGTTGGGATCCATTCCTCAGCGCAGGCGCTTCCTAAGAGAAACCCCAGACCTTGTGAGCGGCCGCAGCGGGTTTGGAGGCCGGAGGGTGCCTGGGGAGTGGTCGATGGCATCGGAAAATGCTCATCCCAGAGGTCTCAAAGGTCCCAAAGGTCGCAGCTCAGCCCCGACCCCTCCTCGAGCAGACGCTGAGCGTAGGGGAAGCGCTGTTGGCTGCACTCGCCCATCTCAGCTTGCCATCGGCACGCGGCTGTGCCGGGGCGGCTCCAGAGCTGGTGCTCACCCCACGCCGATGGCTTTATCCAAGCGGTGTGAGCCCTCGGGCAAGTGTTTGTTCATCAGCAAAGGCAGAAAATCCCCCGTGCAGTGGGTACACAAGGGGAAGGGTGTGCTACGGTCGTGGTGCACCCCAAATCTTGCCGGATGCAAGCGGCCGTGGCGGGGTCCCGCTCAGCGACGAGCACGGCTGGGTGTGAGGAGTGGGGGTGGAAGCGGTGGGTCGCTGCCACGCGCTCGCCCGAGGGAGCCTGGGCAGAGCAGGAGGGGGGAAACACCACCCAGAAGGGAAGCGCGGGGTGGCTGCTGCTCTCTGGGAGCTCATTAATGATATTAATGACTAATCGCCCACTTGCTCCTGTGTGCATCCCTTCTGTGGTTGATAAATCCACGAGTTCCGTGGTGCTGGAGCCAAGCCCGTGGCTCCCGTCAGGTCTCAGCCCAGCCGTGCCCCTGCGAAGCTCCTTCCCCCGATGGCAGTGGGCGGCAGAAGCCCCCCGCCTTGCCCCGCTCCCCGCTCCCAGCCAGAAGTTAACCTCTACGTCTGCAGCCGTCTCTCTCTCTCCAAAGAGAAATATTTTTCCAGGCGCTGCCTCCATCCATTATCATAAAGTGGCTTCACTTGCCCTGGAGTTAATAATTCACCTTTCCTTGGAAGATGGATGCTCCCGTCCCGCTGGAGTTTAAATATTCATGGGGAAGGGAAGGCAGAAACCGCTGTGCCGCGCGGGAGGTCTGGCAGCCGCGTGGCATCCTCTGCTGCCGGCGAACGCCCCGGTCCCCCGGCGAACCCCCCGGGCTCCCGGGCCCGT